ATCGCTGTCGCTTCGAGCAGGATCCATTCTCCACGGTGCCAACAGGCCGCTTCTTCTTCTGCTCATCATCCTTCCATTGGCTCCAATTACTACCGTGAACACCAATGCGCTTCAAGGAAAAAGCCTGCCTCACTGTTCACTCCAAGCTTCTGCTCGGACGTGACTGTCCACGCTTTGGCATCGTAATCCCAAAACCACCTCGGAAACAGAATTCAGACAAAGTCTCAGTCCTAAAGTCAAAACTGCTCATCTGCCCCAATGAACCGTGCGAGCATCTGCCAATTTCACTGCTGCATAAAGGGAGAAGTACCATAAATGTATAGTCCAAAAATGAACTCTCTCACGCTGCGCTGAGTTCCCCGCACATTTCCTTTCCATCTGCACCATATCAAAGCTCCAGCCTTCACCCTGGGCCAGTGTGAGTTCAGTTGACCATGCAGGGCCAGGACGAGACTGCACATGTAAATCTTCAGCAAGCATTGCGGAGAAGCAGGCCTGATTTGGTTCACGCCCACAGTTGACACGGTCTTGAACTCCGAGGATTCCATATGGCGCGGCAAAAGTAGCAATCGCACAAGCTTACACTCTTCACTGGAGCCTGAAAGGTGAGTCAGACCCTTGCATGCCACATGGAGGCAAGAAGCTTTTGAATACACTGGCTCTCACCTGGGGACCACACGGATGCAGGCCCAGCTCGAGCCCTCCAACTCCCGTGAAGAGAGAAACACAAGGCATCGGGTCCTGAACCTGCACAAGTTTCTGTACTGCTACATGAGAAGTGAGCGCGCCACGATTACCAGCCTTCAAGTTGTGCTGCAGATGCTCATCCAGCACCCCTGGCTTCACAGCACCGACCCTGGGCTCCGTCCAGCCAGAAGGCAAGCCTGGCGAGAAGCAGGCACAACAAACCCCCATGTCAAGAGTATGTGAATCCTGCGCCTGAAAACCATTCCGCGGCCGGGATGGACAAATAAGGCTTTGGGGTGCCGCCTGCAGCCTGATACTTCTCGGAGAAAGCAATCTGGTTGGCCAAGTCCTTGGGTTGAAGCACACTCATGTCCTGAATGCGCCTCACTCTGAATGTTGCAGAACTCACTCTGTGGATAAAGGATGAACATGTATATTGATCACTGAAGAATAAAAGCGCAGCATGCGGCATGTACCCGAGGCCCCGGGCACTGATCGCTCTCTGGGTCACCCCCGTTTTGGCCACCCTCGTGGTGGCCCCGAAGCAACCTTGCATGTGAGGCTGGATAACTTATTAGAATGAATTCGCAGAGAACATAAATCTCAGGATGGTACGAATGCACGACCAGGACTTGAAAGTGCGCACTCCTGTGAACAAAGCCGCTCCATTCTTCTTCTTGCCGCCCTTCTGCCGACAGACCTCATGTTTCAGAATGATTCAGAAGGAAGCACAGCGAGCTCCAGGCAGCACAATGAATGAAGCATATAAACTGACAGAACATGTTTCTGCATCTATGCTCAGGCAGACTCTCTAATCCATCATCTCCACAAAGAGCGGAACAGGGGAAGGCGAGGAATGCTCTGGAAGTGACTTCGTCATGGTGATCTTATTGGCTCTCTCTTTACGCTGCATCATTCTTGCCACGAACAGTATGCAGTGCGAGCATACCTGAGAATCCCACGCAACTCCCATTGTGAGTGCAGCAGAGCTCAAAGTGCATGTTACAGGAAATGTTTGTAAATTTTACATGGTGTGCAGAGCATGCTAGCAAGTTCACAGCCAGTCTTTGAGATGTGAGCGAATCAGCCGAGTAGGCACCAATCAATACTAGCTAATTTCCTGGTCATGGCAGACGATCCTTGCAGAGACGCTGCGCTGGCAGCATCATGGGCCAAACGAATGTTTTCCAGGCTGCCAGAAAGCCCGCAAGCTCGACTGCACTGGGTGGACTTTGGTGGGGAAGGAGTACGCGAGGCAGCCATTAATGCCCTTTGTTACACTCCAGCCTACGCCAATCAGGCCCGAGTTGCTTTCGCGACGCTGGCAGACGCGCTCACGACACTGCGGTTTCACATGTTGGCAGGATGTAGGTTCGCTGATTCGTTCGAGTACATAGAGACTGGTGTGCCTAGAATCCCTCGCAACATGAGCACTCGCTTCTTGATTTTGGTTAATGGACCTGGGGCTGCCCATGTGCTTCAGGAGCTCAGGCGAGGACTGGAAAACATGCAGAGACACCAAGAAATTATCTATCAGGATTCCGATGGTCCTACAATATGTGCTTGAGCAGTCTGGAGGACGGCTAACCAAACCTTCGGTGACTGAGGCACAAGCAACTTTCAGGTTCAGCGGAGAGCACGACCTCATTGGTACCTGTCCATCACCGAAATTTGCAAAACTCGCAGTCATGTGCCACTTGCTGAGGTTGCCTTCAATGAGTAACAGTAGTCAGCATCTGCCCATCCACATGCAGGAAGCGCCATGACTGCCTTGCAAGCATGCACTAAACTCGAGGATACTCCAAACACTTCCCTCACACACTGAAAGACATCTTGGCCTGCCGCACTTTGCCAATGCGCTTGATCACTCGTATCCGAGCGCAGGGGACCTACGGAGTTTCAACATGTGAGACTGCTTGCGGCTCATACCAATACCAGCCTTGACATGCGCACGCTGCGAAGTGCTTCTGGCCGCCTCTTTTAGAATACCAGTGAAGAAGGAAGAACAAACTGAAAATCCAGCATGTGCCTGGGAGACCATGGAAGGTCTCTTCCGAACGACCTGGCAAGCGCAGAGAAGAACCATTAATATGACAACATACCTTCCTACACCTTGCGGATCTTGGGCTTGCCCTTCTCATCTCTGACCTGCTATGTGGCAATCTTGCACTGACGTCTGCTAAACCAGCATGCTGCGGCCTTGGGATTCTTCCGCGTGGCATTCTTGACCTGACTACTGGAGATAGCTTGGAACGGCTTGTTGAATATTCTCCTGCCTCAGGAATCATCTTCTGACCGCTCAAAGCCTGATTCAGCAATGCTGACAGTCTATGCACAATCTGCCATGATGAGACACAAGTTGCTTCTACTTGACTGCCACACTGGTTGCGCTTAGGGCTTAGGGTTTAAGGTTTAAGGTTTAGGGGCAAGGGCATTCCTCTCAGGGCAGTGCATCACCGCTTGGCTCGTCCACACTTTCCAGGTCAGACCTTTGTCAGGAGCATGTGGGACGAAAGCTAAAAGAATTCATTTCACTAAGTCTGTGGCAAACTTGTGATTGGAGGCAAGGCCATGACTCGACTCTGGGACACGACCAAATCAAGAAACCACACCCTTGGGCCGTGCACGCTTGCATGCAAGACAAAATGCTCTGCATCCTGCCACGCTTTGTTCCTTCAAGGCTTGGGGTTGCGGAGTCTCCAAGTAAAAATGCACATTGCGGGTTCGTGGTCAAGTGTGAAAAAGGGATTACAAGAATACAGGAGAACAAGTGTTAGCATGATTGCACAAGCATGAATTGAAAGAAAATATTGTAGGGTTTCGGCCCTGGGGTTGTAGGTATAAGCGCTGGGGAGGGCTAAGATATGGATGCATGCTAACGATTTCCCGTACCGTTTCGGGGAGCTCTTAAGGGGTGAGGTGAGGGATACACAAGGTTAGAAGAGAAGTGCTGTATCATTACAATGCTTGCCAGGATGCGCCAACGTAGAATCTCAAGAATACTGCAGGACAGGGAACAAATTACAGTAAGGAACTAGTCTTCAATACCTTCTACATCTCTTCTTCCCTTCGCTTGGAGCACCTGCTTCTCAAAGTCGGAACTACTTCAACAAGACTGGGAATCCCTACCGCTCTAGAACCGACTCTACTGTTATTTGCAAAGCTGCTCAAAATCGTTTGGGATAAAAGATCTCCAATTGCAATCATTGTCCACAAACCCCGCAGCCACCTGAACATATCTAGCGTTAACCCTATACTCTCAGACCCGAAACCCAGGCCCCACGCCCTAAACTACAAATTCTATACTCTTGATGGAACACTGTCCTCTCCCAAGGAAAGGAAAAAAAACTAGAGCCCATTACCCAACATTGCTTCTAATTGCAAAAATGTAATCGAAGTACAGAAGTTACAGAACGTAGTAATACGTGTAAGGACCCCGGTCTGGCTGAATTCTGAAGAGAAACTACGACATGAGATCTAAGCTTTTCGTTTTAAAGGGGAAAACCCGACCCTGTGCTCTACGTAAGTATGTACATATTCGCCCAAAGAAATAATGTCTACTAAGCTGGGAGCCCTGACCCTGACCCTGCCCGGCACGCGTCTCGATGTGTCTGAACACTGCGGAAACCTTAAGTCCCTGTACAAAATACCCTTTAACAAACATCCCTGCCCCCTGGCCCTGCTTCGGACTTACAGCCCTTGTATTTTTTGGTGATGTACTTTTTTTTGTGATGAAATTCCTTTTTTGCAAATATTAAATATATGTTCTGTTCTCGAGTTAGGCTTGTCTGAACCTTCGGAGACGATATTGCAAGAAAAACTCAGGTTCTCAAGAACATACCGGGCAAAAAGTCATGTTCTCTATTCCAGCAGGCGGTGTGTCTTGACAAACAAGATCCCAAACACCGGATCACTTCCAAACACCGGTTGCCAGAGAATTTCTTTATACCAAGAGCCTATAAGGTTCAGGAGCTTGAGGTGTCAGACACCCATGACATGCTCGTACCAATCTGCTGCAGACTGAAAGATGAGCAAGTTTAAAGATTTTCTGCTAGACAGCTTCACCATACAGAGTCTTTAGCTTGTGCAACTTCAACTGATCCGCAAATCCCCCCCATGTAATCTTGGCCTGGATCTGTGCCATGAGGGTACCAAACAAGATGTTGTTTAACCCCATTGCCCCTTCCATGAAGAACTACCATAGACGAGATTCCTCAGAGCATTGCATGTAACATTAGACACAGGGCCAAAAGCATCGTCATTTCCACACAGTGAATTTTTGCGCAGCAATGGCATCTAAACAGCATGGATGGCCATCAGTGTCAAGAGTTGGGGCAACACCATTTTGTAAGGTAAACCCGAATCCCTAAAGCCTATAGCGCTGGAGGCCCTAACAGGGATCCATAGAACATTCTTCCGAGTCTTTCCAGCTACAGGAAGCCCTTATGTCTAAGGTCGGGGACAATAGACGCCTAGCAGCTCACGCCAAAGACGTCAGCCCTAATGAATAAAACAAGCAGCATGAGGGCCCTTCGAAGAGAGTCATGATTAAATTGTAGTGCATGGTTTAGGCTTCAGTTTCTTTTTCTAGATAATTACATATTTGTTGAATGGATTTAGGGTTTAGGATTGTGACATGAATTGCGAACCGGTGTCCACACCGACTACGCCTCCATGCCACTTCCAGCTACCCTCCTTGGTGTTTTTTGGGAGGAGCGTGAGATGCTTTTTGGTTGCGCTCAGGGTTAAGGCGTAGGTTCTCTGGCTGAAGCTTAGATGGCGTCTACTGGACGGTGCTTCCACTTTGCCCTAGCTGAATTTTGTGTGCGTTTGCGGTGCAAGTTTTCATCCCCGCACTACCTCCAAGGCAAGTGTTGAAAGGCCAAAAAGAAAAAACTCACAAAGCTTCCAGTTTCGACAAGGCATCTGGCAAGTGTCCCACCGTGGTCACCTTGCCTGACACAAGGCTAGCTCTCTAGCATCACCGCCCCGAATCGCATGCAGTCATGAATTTGCGATATCATCCACGCGGTGGCCTTTCAAAAGTAACAACGAATTTACCAACTCTTTGTGGGTGGTCACTAGAATCGAGACCATGAAGACCTATAAGCGGACCTGAATGTCCTGAACAAGTTGTGCTGCGACTAACTGGCATGACAAACCCCCAGCACAGTGAAAGTTAGACCATCCCACGTAAAGCCTCAACGCCAAAAGTGAAGCTTCACCTTCATTCAATACCGAAAACTTAATGTAACCCACACGTACCATGCCCACAAGGCCAGTACTTCTTACTCACACCCTACTGAGTTCAACTTGTGCCGAGGGCCGAGCCTGTTTCAGGGTTGATCTTCAGCACGCTGTTGGCGTAATAGGGCATACCATAGATGCAGCCATCAGAACCCATGAGGCCGCCATACCATTTCCTTTTGTGGAGGTTTAGGGTTTAGGGTTTAGGGCAGGTTGGTTTGCTGATTAGCGCATGTATGAGTTTCAGGTTCTGAGGCTTTGAGGTTTCGGGGCCAGAGGTTGGGGGCTTCTCCAGCTAAGGGTAATTAGCACTCGGGGCAAGGTTCTTTGCACATGGAAAACGCTAGAAGATGAGAGAAGGAAGAAGATCTTTTTGGGAGGAATACGGTGCCTTTACATGTTATGTAAAATGAAGGGTATCCTTTTGGGGGTCGCTATAATAAGGACTATAATATTTTGGGTGTATACTGGGGTCCCCCTATGGGCTGAGAGTGACAGTAAATGCTCCTGAAGCATTCCAGTGTCCATCGTCCCGGCATGGGGTCTCCAATGATTTCAGCGCGATCACTATCCTGGGCCAGAAGAACGCTACTGAAAGTGCCAAGTGCTTCTATAGAAGTAGAGGCTGTGGGGGATACGCATGGGGGGTGGGGCCCTTGCTAACAATCTACAAAGTCAACTCTGAAGAAGTTCATGTCATCGCAGGGGAACAAGAGGACCTCGAAAATAGTTACACGAGAAATTACACTAGGCTATCCCACAGCCCCTCAATTCCTCCTCTAGCTGCAGGAGCCACGAGCATCTCTGGCAAGTTCTGCCGTAGACTTAACGGCCAGAGGTATTTAAACCAGCCAACTAGACGGGGCGTCACTAGCCAGAGGGCTATCCAAACGTGGTGCGGATTCTGCCAAGAAAATTTCGAGGAACCACCTTCTAGATGCTAGAATAAGGAAGTCTATCAAAGTGAGGGCAAACTCAAGACAGCCCTGGCACACTAACAGTCCTTCGCATGCCTTCTCAAAGAGGGGTCCTATCAACAGCGCTGTAGCTGAAAAAGAGGCTACATGGATTTCGCTGTCAGTTTGGGGGTGAGCATGCCGTGCAACAGAAAGCTGAACGGTGATGCTAGCATCCTCCAAAAAGTCTAAACCCTGAATCCTAAACCGCGTAGCCCAGTGTCAGGATCAATTCGCAGAACCGCCTCCGCCTCAGCTGGAATGCAGTAGATTGCGCCATCTGGGGCCACAACGGCCCCATGCCACTTCCACCTTGTGCGCTTTAGGGCATGGAGGGTGTAACGTTTTCGGGTTTGGGGAGTTTGGGGCCGGGTTTGTGGCTGAGGGTTTATTGGCTTGCCGTTAAGCAACTTGAGCTAAATCACTGTAATCAGGACAACCTTATTATTCAGCGTATACCCACAAGAAGGTGTCCTAAATTAAGCTCCTTAATAGCAACCCAGTTCAGGTTTGGTGGCTTGCAAGGAGAACAGCGGAGGTGGAGGTGTTCAACCACAACGAATCGGTCAGCGCAACGCAAGGCAAGATCCAAAAAGACTTGCGAAACGTGTTCAGGGCTTAGGGTTTAAGTATTTAAGGCGTTTTATGAAGGTCTCACCGTGCTGTAACATGTCTGATGGGCGAAACAAGCCTGAGAAGATGCAAAAGATGCAAAGCGAAGATCTGGAGCTAGCAAAAGTTGTTAAGGGTTTAGGGTTTCGGGTCTTGGTTTGAACCCTTAACTCTAGACCCATAATCCTGCTGATAACTCTTACAACAACCATGAGCAGCAGCAGGAGGTATATCAATATTAACAAGGAACATAAGAAGGACAACACATAGCAAGAATGCGAGTAGCAATTACAACCAGAGCAAGCCGAAATAGCAACATGTATAATTACACTCGTCAAATACATGTGGGTGTCCCAACATTAGGGGTACCTTTCTGGAGATCCCCATCATAAGGGCTACAATATATCAGGTCCTATATTGGGGTCCCCTTATTTTGGGAAAATTACAACATATCAATAACGGCAACTGTAACAACAATGGCAAATACTAGTAACATCTCTAACATGAATGACAGTACTATGAACAACACCAACATCAACATTTGGGTCTTGGCCTGAATTTCTGCTCCTAGAATGGAGCATAAGGAGCCCTAGTGGAACAGGAACCCAAATATAGCGACCCATATGATCATAAAATTTGGGCAGTCCGCACCCTGAACCCTAAAACGCGTGGGCACAAACAGACTTAGGGTTGCATTTATGGCGTTACGCAAGGACAACTTCGGAAAGAAACTCCCATGTCCTAAGCCTTGAGCAACACTGAGCTTATGAGTAGCTCCATTACGAGTCTGTGGACAAACTCCCAATCTTTGAGTTGTTACAAGGCAGGCTGCGCCAAATACAAACCTGTAAGGGGTTTTGTACGGCTTGAGGGCTTGAATAGGGGCTAGTTTGTATTTATACTCCCCGACACAAAACCGTGGAACCCCAACAAGGCCGCTCCAAATAGACAGAAGTCTGTAATCGGTACTTCGAAAGTAATGAAACCACCGCACCCCTCTTGGTAAATATTCTCCATATATAGCATCCCTCCACAAAAGCGGGAGTATTCATCGTCAGGGGGTGGGGAGGGAGGACTGTTCTGATCTGAAAAAGATATTTCAACCCCCGAGCAAGTCTGGCCACTTGCCCTGGGGCAGCGATCCAAATGTGGAGACCTGCCAGAGCGCAAAGACTTTAAGTAGGCAAATGAAGACACACTAGCTATATATATATATACATATACATATAAACTGTTCACGAGAGGCTATAGGATATTGCGGTTTGGTAATTTTGGGCTTAGCCCTACGTAGCTGCGACCTCAAGCCCTACAACCGGAACCATTTTTTATAACTCCGGTTGGGAAGGGCTACCAAACTTCTTTCTTCTCACTGCCCACCCTAAACCCTGAACCCGAAACCCTAAACCCTAAACCCCTAAAAATGTGGGGCGAAGACCTAGCTCTGGAAACTTGCTAAAGGGTTAGCATCGTACAGTAGTGGTTTATAGGGCTTAATTATTCAGAAAGGGTTCTTCTACGGAATTCCATGGGAATGTATTCGCCAGTATATAAGGCTCTGCAAATCAAATGGAAAAGTTCATGGACAATGAATTGGATACAGAAATTCTATTATGTGAGGGGTTGGCATAGGGATTGCAATCGCTTCGCTCTGACGTTGAACAATGTCCCTTTTAACATGAAATAATACTGGGCCCGAAACCACTATTGAAAGTTAGGGAAATTCGTTAGAGAACGAATTAGATAGGGCTGCCTGTGAAATCCTCTTGAACTCCAAGTGAAAGCAACAATGAACTAATCAGCTAAATCATTCATTTCATCACATCAATTTGTAGAGGTTGTCCAGCCTCAGGGCGTTTGGAACCATCGAAAAACGCCATTGTTGACAACCCACAACCATGCCACATTCTCCAGCGGTGGCCCAGTCCAGCCACCTTGTATTTTTCGAAATTTCCCACCCCCATCTACCCCCCATCCCCGCCCATCCCCCCCCGCACAATAGCGTCTACAATTAATCACTGAGTATCTGATCAACTGATATGATCTGAATCAATAAACTAAATAAAGAAAAAACTGATGATTCCAGAATCCCCCGAATTAATCACTAGGTGGCCCCCTTTAAAATAGCCTTGCCCTTTCGCAGATTCAATATTCACGGCATGTGATGAGTGTAGAAGTCCAAGTAATGACAAGATGGTTTTGCGCCTGGACTCTACCATCATAACAAAAGGTTTATGAAAGCATCGTACTGCCGATTCTTGCAGCATCTGTGAGGTCGGGAGCTTTGCTGACATTCGTTTTGGCAACTCTAAACCCTAAACAGTAGTCCCCACTTCATTTTCCATTATCCCAATATAACCCCAATATAACCCTAATATTGCCCCCAATGAAAACGCACAAGGGCTTGTAATTTTCAGCAACAATCAGCGCAGCTTGAGGCTAGAGGTGGTTGACAAATGCCTGCAGCGCTCAAACCCCACGCCACGAACCGGTGAGCCAACGTACCCTGGACCCCACCTTCTGGATCTAAGACTGCCCTTTTTAGCGCCCGGCAAACATTCCATGCAACACCCAGTGCACCTTAAGCCAAGCCATAAACAAAGACGGGTGCAGTGTTGACCCCTAGTTTAGGCCCTGCTGGTGACTCCGTCTACGCTGACCTAAAACAACCCTAAACCCTAGATAGTAGCTTCCATTTTCTTTTGCACTATTACATATAACCCCATAAAACCCCTACAGTCCCGACATAAAATCCTATAATCCCCATATGACCCCTATAACCCTAAACCCGGCCTCCCTTGTTTCAGGGCAGATCTTGAGAACGGACTCCGCACGAGCCGGAATGCCTTCGTAAAGGACATGCTTTCAAGCTGGAGCAGAGCTGAATGATGATTAGATTTGGGGTCCCGGGTTTAGGGTTAGTAGGGTTTAGGGTTTAGGGAATATAACATATTGACATTTAGGGATTATATTCCTGTACTCCCTTCTAGATTCTAGCCCCAGGTAAGGAAAAGAAATTGAGGCCCGGACCCACCAGAGTCATGCGTTTTGATTTCTGACCTTGACACAAGAAACCCAAGCCTCAAAACGAAACCGCCCCAAACCCTAATCCCCGAACCCGAAACCATAGCGCCAACAGCTCCAGATCAAGGCTTTGAAGCAAGAGTCGTGGGCTTCTTGGGTGGGTTCAACTGTGAAGAAAAAGAAAGCTCTCGCTTCTAGAGATTCTAGAAAGGACCTATAGTACATGCTTCGGGGCCTCAACGCAAACCTCACTATCAACCCGAAACCCTGACCCTGCCCTAGGGATCCAAATAGCCCAACGTAGGTAATATCTACAGACTTTAGGGCCCACTGTAGGTATGATTTGTATAATCCGCAACTTTAAGCCCTAGACCCTAAACTGTGTTGTGGAGATCAATGGCCAGGCTTGAGGAATTGAAATTCTTGGACTTCAAGATCGAGGCGGCTTAGGGCTTAAGATTTAGGACTTAGACTTTTGTCGATGACGGCCCCTAAACCCTAAACCCTAGATTTTGAATGTGGGGGCATAAATACTTGGCATCAAGCTTGGGGGAGTGCCAGGACCCTCCCATTTCCGGTTTGGTATGGTTTGGGTACTGCCCCCACCCAGTAACTGTCTACATTAGGGGTCCTATTCAGGGCTATATATAACCATATTATAGATATTATCCAACTGTTACTGAGTGGGGGCAGTACCCAAGGTATGGTTTTTAGGACTTTGTTTAGGACTACCCAAAAGCTGCTGCATTGGAGGGTCTATAGGTAAAGCCACAAGGATTACACGTGGCAACATTTCAGGCTTCTGGCATGAGCTTTTGAAGAATGAACGGCATGACTAAGATTGGGCCTTGGCCCTGCCAGTATCTTGAAGCTCTTCATACGAAATCCCTGGACCCAACTGCTGCGTCCTAAACCCTGAAATCCTCCAACGAACCTAAACCATAAACCCTAACCCCTAGAAGCTTATACTGAACGATCTTGAGACCCTGTGCCCTATATAACGCTCAACTCCATGCAACCCCTACGTATATATTCCACATAGAGGCAACTACATTTAACTCTCTAAACTCTTTACGGCAAGGGCTTTCTCAAAACTGCTCTGCCGGGATACCGAAGATGTTGCCATTGCCGGCCATCAGCCCACGGGACCACTTGAATGTGCCGCGCTCGGAAAAGCTTCCAAAAGCCTCGCGCTGAGGATGCGGTTTAGGGTTTAGGGCCCTACCTAGACCCTCCAATGTAGTACCTTTTTGGTAGTCCTAATAAGAATCCTAACCAAAAAACCATACCAAACACCAAAAAGGAACTACATTGGAGGGTCTCCATATAACCCAATATAGCACCAATACACTATAGTTTCCATTTTCTTTTCCATTCTCCCAATATAACCCTAAACCCAAAGCCCTAGGCCCTAAACTCTTAGGCTTTAGGGGTTTCCAGGGCTTAGGCCCCACTCCGGGAAGCTTCCCAAAGCCTCGGGATTCATAGGGTTTAGGGTTGAGGGCTGAGTCAACGACAAAAGAGTTTGGGGTTCTTTCGGCTCTGTACGGTTGAGGGTTATGTGACCAATGGACTCAAATTACATCAAACTTGAGTTGGGGATATTGTCTTCTGTTGTGGTGGCAAGACACAATTTGCAGAACTCGCTAGTAATGATTCATGCTGCTG